GAACTTCCACCCTTTTTGCTTGCCGTGTAAGTGCTGCCATCTGCCGCCAACCTCTTCAATCCAGCCATACGGCAGGGCGCAGGAAGGCACCCTCTTCGCGATCGGTGCTGACGGACGGAAGGTGGCGGTAGTGTCGCGCCGGACATAGGTGGCCCACCTGCAAAATCTCATAGGCGCAGCGGGCTTCAGGCCCCCGCCACTAGAGGCATGCTTAATCCTTTCGGGGCCAGATCTCTCGTTTTTGAACACAAATTTGGCCCACGCAAGCTGTTTAAGAAGAATTAATTAACTTCGCACCCTTAATAATGTCAAGGGGGCCTGTCGGTTCAAATCGTTGAGCTTCCTGTCGCTTTTTTCGAGGCTGAATGGATAACGCCACCTGTCGAAAACCCGACCAGGCGTCAAACGGCCCGCCCACGCATACCTGGCCAGGCTGACCAGCTGTCCGGGCTGGCGGTCAACATCGTGACACGGCAGCTGGGGGTAGGCGAAGGCGCCACGTACGGGCCTCACGCCCTTCGCTCTGCGCGGTGACGTTGAGTGTCTGTCTACGTTGCAGGACTGGTCGTACACGAAAGAGCAGACGATCCGACACCGTGACCTCTGCATGACCTTGCTGGAGGGCACGCCGGGCACGCCCGTGCTGCTGCAGCGCTGCAAAGGCCACCATAACCAGGTCTGTGTCCACTGCCGCTGCTGCTGCTGCGTGGTTGGCGGGGCGCCAAAGTGTCCAAGAGGAGTTTGCGTGACTGGCGGGGCGCCGCAGTGTCCGAGAGGAGTTTGAGTGGCTGACGGGGCGCCGCGGTGTCCGAGAGGAGTTTGTGAAGGTTCCAGAGGTCTCAACCGGTGGGATTTCCCCGAAAGGTTTACCGTGGCGCTTTGTAAACAAGAACTGGCTATATATATTGTGTGTGTGGAGGATGTTGTAGAAGTCGTGTGCTCTGACGATTTTTTGGAAGAAGGTTGCAAAAGTTGCGAGGTCAACAGAAATCCTGCGTACCATCAGCGCGCATGGCACGTGTCGCCTACCCAGGCATCGTGTCCTGCGTACTATCAGCGCGCATGGCACGTGTCGCCTGCTCAGGCACCGCGTCCTGCGTACCATCAGTGCGCATGGCACGTGTCGCCTGCTCAGGCACCGCGTCCTGCGTACCATCAGTACGCATGGCACGTGTCGCCTGCTCAGGCACCGCGTCCTGCGTACCATCAGTACGCATGGCACGTGTCGTCTGCTCAGGCACCGCGTGACACCAGCGCTGCGTTCACGCGGTTCCATTGACAAATATGTGAGAAGGCCTGAGATACGGCGTATCCTGGAAGGCTTTGATTGGCGTTTCTGATGGGTTGTCCGGCCTGGTTACGCCGAAGCGTTCATTCACGGCGTGGCAGACTGCCTACGCGGCATCGCTTGTGAGGCAGCGATTAATCACGCCGCCTGAACTCTTTGTTATGTTCGACACAGGCCGCGGTGGAGAGCATCCGGTTCTGAAGGGATCCCCCCCCCCCCCCACCCCCACACATATATAAGGCCCCGCAGTATACTGAGCACGGTCGGGCCGTGCCGGTGGGCTGGTGTCGCACTTCGTCGGGATGGTGTGCTGCAGTCGTCCGTACTGCAGGAGCGATGTCGGCCACATCGCTCAGGTCGTGGAATGCCGGGCGCTACATATTGCCCCTGCTCTCAGCTGACCGCGGGCTTTGTGGGCAAGTGGTGTGGTGGCAAGGAGTCCGTTCTCAGCGTAAGACCGTCCTCACCAGATGAGCATTGACTGGGGTGTTTGTCCTGAGGGTCGGCCGATGCCGTCGGGAACGCCCTACTGGCATTGGCTGATGAGGGAGTTGACTGTGACTGACGACAGGCGAGCGTCACTGACAGGCGCGCGTCACAGTGACTGCCGGCGCCGGTCACGCCGGCCGTGTGCTGATCCGCCCTCGCCGCCGGTGTGTTTCAGAGGTGGGAGCGACTGGACGGCTCCATACGACACGTGCTGTACGGCCTGTGCGCCGACTCGGGCCTGCCCGCCTCGCGCGGCGTGGCGGCGCAGCAATGCGACAGCTCCGCCCACACGCAACTCTGGCGCTTCACAGTCAACCAGATCTGACCGGCCGGTCACGCTCCGCTGGCGGAGGGTCACGGACCAGTCACGGACCAGTCACGGACCAGTTACGGACCCCGGTGGGCGGCGTAGTAGGGACTCGGTTGTCGCTGTGGCGTGACTCAGTGGCGGCTCGGTCGGACTCATGGATGGCTGGCGGCTCAGTGAGTGTTGACTCGACCACGCCGTAGTCGCCGCTGAGTCACCTCCTCGTCTTGGCGCAGTCACGACACCGCGGTCAAGTCATCACCTCCCGGCGCAGTCGTGTAGCTCAGTCACAGCTCAGTTAAGATGAGTCGTAGCCCAGCCACGGGGTGCGGTCGCGGCTCGGCCACGGCCCAGCAGCGCTTTCAGAGCATGTGATAGCCCGCCCGGCGCTATTTCTGGTGGCAGGCCGCTAGATGTCACTGGTGAATCAACGGCACAAGGGATCGCCAGAGCACATGTGACAGGGAAATCGTGGATCGCGGAGGCCACACGGCTGGCTGTGCCTCGGATTCAGCGCTGAGCGGACAGGTTCGCCATTGTGGAGATTGTCCGACGCATCATGACATCTGTGTCGGTGGGTCGTCACTAGATGTCACTAGTGCGGCCGACGGCTCGCTGCGTTGGAGGCTCATATCATGGCGCCCGGTAGATATCAGAGGTGTGTGGTGATCAGGGTTAGTGTGGGATGTTGTCGTCGGATGGCAATATTTGTGGTTCATGTGGTTCGTGGAGCGATTGGCTCTGTGCCAGACCTAGCAGCCAAAACTGGGGGGATCGAAGCACGCGGATGTCGGGTATTGCGTTGCTGCGCGTAATTCCCGCGAAGTTTTCAAATTGCGAGAGACGCACGTGTGCAGTGTCGTACGGTGTTGAGTGTCTCACACTTTGAGGACCTCGCACGCAATGAGCCGTAACTTAAACTGCACGGTACTTTACGCTCCTAGATCCCCCCAGCCATAGGCATGCCCAAGTTTTTGATAATGCTGGGGAGGCTGAGTCGGTAGAGGAGAAAATGGTGCGTTTGAATGCGCTTGGAACTCGATGACGTGGCCGTCGATGCGATGAATTTGCTGACGAAAACTGTGCGCGGTTGGATTACGAACGAGCAACGGTGACTGGTGTGGAACGCGTCAGCTGTTTTAGAACAAACAATCGTTATACAATTTACGTGAAACGCAGGTACCACACGCATGCAACAATCCATATGTGTAAATATTTACTTGGAAGAATTATTTTCAGCCGATGGCGCTTTTGAGTGTTTCGTTGTCTCCTTGGCTTCGCAGGCCCGTGTAACGAGTCGGCAGTCTCTGAAGCCTAGCGTTCTGTAATTTATTTTGCCTGTGATAGTTTTCTGTGCGCAGTTCCTGAAGCACGCTTGTTGCCTGGCTGTCTGGCCAAGTGCTGTTTAGACGACTTGCAAGGCGCCCAACGTGAGAAAACTGCTTTGCCAATGATTGTCAGGAATGAGACCGAACTGCTGGCATAAGTGGCAGTCATTTTACGGGGAACCAGTATCTATTTACACCGTCAATGATGTCGTCTCTGTTTTCGTACATTTTCTATGATTGTTTTTGTACACTGTTCTGATGGAATTTGCCTGCGTGTGTTTTTCGACATGGGATGTTTCTCACTGGTGTACGGAACACGCTATGTCGGTTGTTGCCTGTGACCCGACTCATTCCTGTCTTGCTACCGCCAGTCCTGTTTCTGTGAAACCAAGGACTCTTCCACCTTTGGACTCGGTGTGACGCGAAGATTACCTGGGCTCATGTGGCCACTCGCACGTTTCATACAAATACATCGGATACTAGCGTGCCGGCGTTTGCTTGCGGTGGAACTAATGAGAGGCCTTCTCGTCCTCCCCCCAAAAGTCACGTGTGTGCTCTTTATTTGGACGCCTGCCAGTTCACAGCGTGGTGCCGTAGTGCCCGTGGTTCCCAAAGTGTGCATTGCCCACCATTAAAGCGAGTGACAAGAGCAAGACGGCCGAATGGAAGCAGAGAACATCGCGACGTGTAAATGCTTGTCCCGTGGCGTTGTTTGCGAAGTGATCGACGTTTCTAAGAGCAAAATTAGATACAAAATCTGTTACCGGTATCTGCTACGTAAAAACGAAATGTAGGCTTCATGTAACTGCACAGGCTGGACGTCCCCTGCCGCAGGCATTCTGTCACGTCTTTGCATTTTGAAAGGAGCCGTATGAATTGATGAATACTGCGGTGTAGTGACAAACTGCAAACGGCCGTTGCTACTTTGTTGGGCAGTGGCATGTGTTCAGCAGCGTTTATGGGATAATGATGTTAATGGTGATGATGTGATGAATTATATTGGCAATGGTAATGGCGCGGCGATGCTGACGGACATGTGCCGAGAGTACAACACCGCAGGCGTGGCGGTGGTCAGATCGACTCCTTTGGGATAGATCATGATCTTTTTCGCCTTCCTTTGGACGACGACGTTACGTTGGCCTTATCGCGCGACCAATATGAGTATCACTCACCCCTCGACATTGCTGCACTGGTTTAATCTCGCTTTTGGCGGTGTTCCATCTAGCTAGATTTGAATGCATAACATAAAACCCACTGTTTTGCACTGGCAGCGTAAGCTAATAGCGGCGTTTGACCTCCCCGACCTCGGGGGCGGCGGGTCGAAGCCAGAGGCCTCCGGGCACTTCCGGTCGACCTCTGGCTCGACTTCCCGCAGCCAGCACGCGGCGTCGAGCGGCCTCCCTGTCGCGCCCGTCGTCAGCCCGACCGCGTGACCTTTACCACCCACATCGATCCAGGCCGCAACCAGTGGGTGCGCGGCACCGGCCGCGCCGCCAGCTGACTACTGTGACGTCACTCGCCGCGACCCATTGATCGCCAGTGGGTAGAGGCGGCCATTGCGGAGAGCAGGTGAGTGCGTCTTCCGCAGGATCGGTCGCGGGCGCAGTGGGGACCGGGGCCGGGATCAGGCCGGGGCAACAGCCGGGCGGGGCCGGTGCTGCCGGCCAACGGGGTACCGCCGGCAACTCAGGCGGCGCGTTCTGTTGCAGGACCACAGGGGCACGCCATGCTGTACCTGCTGCTGGCCGGCCTGCTGGCCGTCGCATATGCTGGACCGCATCTGCAGGTAGGTGGGAGGTGTCGCGGTTGCAATTGCTTGTAGTGCGTCTTCTTGGCATAAATATGCTGAATAACTGGCTTCAGATGTGCCAGGTTCGCTTTATGTATCATTTTTCCAAGAAGAGCCTTAGCACATCGGGTGGAGAAGCCAGTTTGATGAAGATGATGGCTTTAAGAGACCATCATTTACAGGCCAAGGATCTTGCAGGTTTTGCTGTCTCTGCAGCTGGATTGGTGGAACGCAGGCACTGACCAGTTCATGGCAGGCGTATGGATATGAGTTTCGGAAACTGCGCAATTGCCGCCCGAGGAGACAGTCAGATGGTAACTGGACGGGACAGCTAGGCCGAAACAGGGGTACTCACGTAACGCTACTGCGTGACAAGGTGCAGCTTCCGCAAAAGGTGTCTGTGAGGCTGGGAACGGCATACCACGCGAACTGCAGTCCAGGATCTTCGCAACTGGCTAAAGGGACTTTGCAAGGACTTTGCCGTAATACTGTTCAAACGTTCTGGAAAATTGCATGGCAATATAAAAAATCTAAGAAATCTAATTCTCTAAAAAAAAATCTGGGTCTAAGGGAAGGGAAGGGGTGGGGGTGGGGGGCCTGGTCATGCCCCCAGTTTGCTGTCAGGAATATTGCTTTGGTTAGTCCAAGACAGCTATCAGTTATAAATGAGGTGTGCCTACATTACACGGGGTAACCAGTTGCTCCTAATGCAACTTTTCATTAGCCAACACAATAGAATCGTAAATCGATGGGGATCATATAATGGGACATCCATCCTTCACTGTTGCTTAAACATCCATAACGTACTCCCACGTGATCACCCCAACCACTGAGCCGTGATCACGGCCGTATGCAGGCATGGATCAATATCGCGGGGCGAATGAGGCCGAACCTGTAATGAGCTAAACATCCGTCATTTAGGCGTGCAAACTGGATAAGGAAAAGCGAATGTGAGCTGGAGCGTCCAAGCGATTCAGCGGCGTCAATGGCCACGTTCGCGTATCTTTGGAAAGTTTCCACAAGTTTGCAACATACTTATTCGACGCGACACGGTATGCGCCAAGCCAGGCGTCTGAGGACCGCTATGTTTCAAATGGAAACATACAACATATGGTGTATCGGTCTGAAACTGTCCAGTTAACAGGGCATTCTAGCCCAGTGATAAACAGGACTGATCGGTGGAATTAGCAGTGCATAGTCTGCAATCCACACACCTACCGCGCTAACAGAGTTCCCTGGAGTACGCGGACTCCTCTTACGACGGTGGACCGGGTCTCTCCGTCCTGCACAGTGGGCAACACCAGCCACACAACTTTAAAGGCCATAAGTGCATCCATATCTGATGAAAGAACTGTTCATGGTGAACGATTTCCGTCATCTACAAGCACAGATTGCCCTCAGAAACGGACGCCAAAGTAATTTTCATACGGGCTCGTGCATGCATACGGAGCCTGTTAAGCATGAATGTTGATCAGCATTCATTCATGGACTCGCTGCCTACTGCCGCGCCGGCTGAGTTCCGTCCCACACTGGTCCGACCCTTCCGGGCTGCTTGATATGCATTGTCTCCCTGAGGGCTGCCAGTGCGGCGTCGGGTATGGGCCCGGCGAGACCCGCCTAGGCTTCCGCCGCCTCCTACGATCTCCTAAATAATACAACACCGCCCCCGGCGTCCGTTGCCGACCGCCCCGCAGCTGAGTAACGACCAGCGTCCGCGAATGGGTGAAGATCGCGTGTGTGGGCCACATTGTGTAAAGGAGTTGGTCATGCCGGAAAACCCCATGCTATATTCTTCTAAGTGGAAAGTTGTGGCGTACTATTGACTCATTTTTTATCAGCAAGGAGTTGTGTCTTGAAGCCTCAATGCTTATCCAAGATTTTGACACTCAGATGCTTTGTGCTTTGTGCTTTGGAATACGAGTATGATGCGGTAGTGATGCGGTTCCAGAGTCAATTTGCCTGACGTAGACTGCTGATCATGTTTTAGAGTACAAACGTAACGCTACGAACACCCATTAGATAATACGGAGTCTGTATTGGCAGTCTTACAATGCGATGTGCGTTCGTTCGTAACGCAGAATCGGTACCTGCGGCTCACCATACATTTAATGTGTGTCAGAACGCGTGCTGGGGTACATCCACACGTGTTTAGGCACCCTCGCCATACAGCATGCATTGCCTTGGGACCTGCGCGGTCCAACACATGTCCGTTCATGTTTCTAAATTCATCCCATCATCCGGCCGTTCTTCAGCCCGCCTGCGGTGCGACGCAGCCCATCTCATCACCCGTCGGTGCTCCAAACCGCCTGTAGCGCGACGTAGCCCATCCCATCACCCGTCTATGCTCCAGCCCGCCTGTAGCGCGACGCGCGCGCTCCCGTCCGCGCGCCGGGGCGAGGCCGGTCTGACGAACACCTGTCGTGTTTCAGAACCCGTACAGTCTGACGGACGTCTTCCTGCAGAATGTGCTGCAGCGGTACGAGCCGAAGGACTACCCGGCCTCCGACTACATGGATGTCATGGAGCGAGTGTGAGTGCGCGCTGACCTTAGCCTGGTTCTCACAACCACGTAACCGACGGTGGCTCGCTTTAACTTCAGTCCGGCCTCGCTAATGGCTGTCGGCCTTTTGAGAGACTCATGGGTGCTGACCAGCTGACCTTTGACGACCCTGTGACCCAGGCTTCGCCAGCCGGGCCTCCAGTATGACGACATGCCCGGCCCCCCGGGCGTCCCCGGCGGCTACGGCATGGTGGACTACGACTACAAGCAGGCGGCGCCGAGTCTGCGAGACCAGGAGTTCCTGCAGCACAGCAGTCTCTGGGGAAACCAGTATGTTACAGGTGGGTCATGAAAGGACTGCGTCTTCGCCGAGCGGTGCACCACAGATTGGTCGTGAAGGGGCGCTAGATAGTGTTCGCCTTCGCGAAGGGTAACAGCTCAGCACGGTACGAGAGTGAATATGGTAGCAGGTGTGCGTCAAAAAACTTTCTGGACTGACAGACCGTGCCAGCAGATATCTCGTTTCTTTAGGGCGTAAGCAACCCACAGGCAAAACCCCAATTATGGGAAAGGCATATTCAACAGCAGGCCACGTCAACTGCGTCAACGCATACGTGGAACAAAAAAGCACAATATTGCAACGCAGCACAATTTTGGCACTTTTTTCGAGCTGAATGTTGCATATTCACAACACATAGTACGTTCCAACGTCGGACTTATGCACACATGGCAGCATCTTCTCGAAGCGAGTCTAAGGATACATGAACGTTCAGCCCAACTATATCTAGATAGCTTTTCTAGAAGTCGATACATTGCACATCTCAGTCACCTGATTCGCAGTCAAATGTGGTAGCTTTGCTGGTGAAGGGCGCAGTTTTTTGGTTGACTATTTTGAATACACTTCTTGAAACCTTGCGCTTTTCCTCTTCAGAACGTAGAATCATTTTTTTATTTGACCTTCACAGAGGTCACCGCATTGCTGGGCCTAAACTCTGTCAGCAGCCGAGACTGCTTCGAACTTGAGTCGGGTCTTTCAGCCTGCGCGATAGCCATCCGAACAATTGGCGTAGGCTTGTAGTGACGTCAGGCGATGCGGCACCATAGCCGCCGTCCAGGTTGTGTCAAACTTTCGAAAGCTTACGTTGCAGTGCATACAACATGAATATTTCCGTGGTGTCCTATCGAAAAATGTGGTTCAAAAATTGCGGCTTACCCAGTTGTGATTAACCTTTACATATTACAGGCAATTGAGGAAAATCGCGTAGGTTATCCCCCCACGAAGGCATGCGAAGTGATTTTGCGTCTATTCTACAGCAGTGGTGTACCGAGGGGCTTGCACGAAGAACTGTATCTTATGATGTTTGTGGCCGCGTTCGGAGCAGGCCGCGCTCACCTCTGTTTGGCGCCGTCTCCACCGACTGCTGAATGAACCCAGGGGAATGAACCCGCTGTGCGGGGCGGACGGCTAGCTGCCCCGCGCTATCGCGTAGTTCCGTTTTCGTCCGCAGGCGGCGCTGGGGAGGGCAGCCAGCACCTGCGGCCTGAGGGCAGCATCAAGAACACGCAGGTGACCAAGACGGACGGCGTGCTGCCGGCGTACTGCGAGCCGCCCAACCCCTGCCCGCTGGGGTACACAGGTGGGTGGCGACGCCCGTCGGAGGACCCGCCCCATCCCCTGCCCGCTGGGGTACACAGGTGGGTGGCGACGCCCGTCCGATGACCCGCCCCATCCCCTGCCCGCTGGGGTACACAGGTGGGTGGCGACGCCCGTCGGAGGACCCGCCCCTCCCCTGCCCGCTAGGGTACACAGGTGGGTGGCGACGCCCGTCCGATGACCCGCCCCATCCCCTGCCCGCTGGGGTACACAGGTGGGTGGCGACGCCCGTCGGAGGACCCGCCGCAGCGCCTTGGTCACGGGATCGTTGCCGCTACACGTCTCAAACCTGCTTGTCTACCGAAGGGCTGGCGTGAAGCACGCACTTGCGTCACTTCCGTGCAGGCGGGTCGGCGAGTGAAAAACCTGCTTTGACGGTCAGCATTGCGGGCCTGATAGTGTACCTAGGCTTGGGGCGGTCGGGTGTGAGGTGTGAGCGTACTTGGAAGTATAGCATTGATGTGAGCAGGCGGAGAGGTTTTACCGTGCATGGCTGGTATGCCATTTAGTAGGCGATACACATGGTCAGATGTCAGGCAGACCTGGTTGTAGGCGTTTGGTGTGTTTGTTCGTATAGACCAGGCTCGGCCGGAAAAGCTTACCTCAGAGCTACGGCACAAAGTGAAAAGTATTAAGTGGAGAAATACTTGAATCACCGAGGACATTACTGAGGCACTCTCCCGCATTGCAAGCTTGGCCAAGGTGGTGGCGGGCATTGGGAAGGATTTCCAAGCAGTGTGTCGTTAAGAAAAATCCACGGCTGGCGTCCACGGCCTTTTCCCGGTGAGAACAGGCACATCTGGGCTGTGCGGATGGTTGGATAGCTGATGAGGGACCTGTATTCGATTCAAGATGAATTGACCAATGATTCATGGATTGCTCCATTTTTTTTTAGCAAGTTGCAAGTACATCGCTTCCTTTGTACAAATCAGCATAGCAAAAAAAACATACATTGGGATAAAATATGTGATTTATTAATTAAAACGCATTAAGATCAGCATGCGAACATTAAATGTGAGATATATCAGTGCTGAATTGGTGCGCACACTGACGATAATTTAAACCGGTGCTGCATCATTGAACTGGAATGTGAATCGATAAAGAATCTATTCACAACAAACAAAGCCATGATCTGAATCAGATCTGAATCGTTAACAAAAACATGAAACAACGGGGAATCAGTTCTAAAAAATTTGAATCGAGCACAGGTCTGCTGGCGTGCCCAGAATCTCGTAGAAACGCGACCCGTTGTCTGGTCCTCACTTCAGCGGTCGAACCTTGACCACTCTGTGCGTCTCGCTAGCCTCGGATGGCTGTCTGGAGACGTTCGAGAACACGGCCGCCTTCAGCCGCAAGTACCAGGCACGCCAGGAGTGCATGTGCGACACGGAGCACATGTTCAACTGCCCGGACTCCACCAGCGACAGCGAGATCTCGGCGCTGGCCAGGTAGTTACAGTTTTCCTTCTTTGCCGCTAGGGTGCAGTGCTATCCCGGATCATAGCCAAGCAGTTCGGAAAGCTGAAGTACCGAGTGTTATGCGCACGCAAAGTTGCTTGAAGGAAGTTTTGTGATGTGGCGGTGAAATCCGATTCTCTGTTTCACTTTTCATCGATTTCTGATCCTTGTGTTTCAGGTCAATAACAAATAAAGGCTTGGAGGAGTCTGCTCTGAACAGCATTATGATGGACCCGGAGAAAACCAAGGTTGTGGCCAAGAAGTTCCATGTTAGCAAGGTAAATAAGAGCTCATCGGTCTGTATGGACTTGGCTGCTGCGTAGCCCACGATCGCCTGGGAATGTGTGTGTGTGGGGGGGGGGGGGGGGGGGGAGGCGGGTTGAAACAACACCCCGCCGAGTTATGGGAATAGGTTCAACAGTGTGATGGATAGGTCCACCAATTTTTGGTACATGACAGGCGACTGATTTAGTACATTTGGGATCAACCTTTTCCGAGTGTCAGTTCAGATCCACGAGTTATTGCGTTATCAGTGAAGGCTTGCGCACCGATTTTGGCCTCTGTGACCTCCTGTATGCAGTACCTTGCAGCTTTCTTTCGTGTTTTGGGTAGCTGCGTTGCCATTCATCGAATTCCTTGGCCCCTGCGAGTCGGTGTCAGCCATATTTACGAGGCATACTATATTACCAGATCATGTGGGGTTAACGTACAACGTCGAACCAAATGTGTGATTACGTGACATATCTAGATCTGGCCTCGCCTTGACCCCTGATCTTCGTTAAAATAATGATATGTTAATGAAGCACAAGGCAGCGCTTTTTCGTCTGGTGCCAGATATTGGAGGTGTACGACAAGCGTTACGAGTACTGAAACCCTATAGTTGTCCGCAGATTTCTATTTTGAAGACATTCTTCGTGACTCGTGACAGTAACCACGCAATAAATGCTAAACTGATGATTCCAGGCTGAGATGAACCGAAAGTTTAAATGACCGTGTATTTTTTGACCTGATGAATGCATACTGCTACATTAGGTTTTGTTTCGGGCCCTCAGCGGCTCGTGGCTGGCGTTAGACTCCATGCGGGGCTGGGTGAGACACTGAAGTGACTCATTGCTGTGCTTCTTTAACCAACTCTTAACATCTAACACTCACAACAAGAAATACGAATGACTTGCCATCATAAAATCCTCAACTTATTACAGCATAAGAAAAATATATCAACTCGTTCCGCATCGACTGTTTAAGGGCGTCGCATATGTCGCGCCCAGCCGGTCCGGTTGTTGGTCACTATGCCCATTACCTGCGATGGTCACCGTGTCTCCGTTCACTGCTCCAGGTGGTCAGTGAAGGCCCGATTTCAGACGCCGTTCGATGGTTTCACAGACCACGCACCGGCCGGCAACGTATCGTCTGCAACAGCGCAGCATGGGCGCTCAAACAGCAGCAGCGACCGCGACTGTCCCCGTCCGGCATGTACCATCACACCGCTGACACCGTCGCTTCCATTCCAGAAGGCCAATCCGTATCTGGACGGAGAGCGTCTGCCCGTGGCGGCCAAGAAGGGCGGCGGCAGTCCGCGAGGCTAGGCGCGCCCCGGCGCCGCCAGGGGGCCCAACGTCGCCACACATGGTCTATTTTGAATGGCGACTCTTCTGGGTGTTTCGAATCGTCGTCGGTGATGTGTGTCGCTTGGAGCTTATATTTTAGCCGGTAGCTTCTAGTTTCCGTGTCGAGACGCCGCTGCGCCGCGCGGTTCGCCGGCCACCGCCGGCCGCCGGCCGTCGTGGCAGTCACGGCCGTCGGCAGGGCGGGACCGGCCGCCTCCGAGGTGGGCAGGGCCAGCAGGGCCCCGTCGGACGTGGCGGCGCTCTCTGACGCGTACTGCGCTCGGCGGGGCCTCGTGCGGCGGCTGGGCGGCCGCTGCGACCCGGGCTGGCCGCTGGCCGCTCCGCGGCGCCCCCGCACGTCCTTCGCTTTCTCTCAGCGCGTGCGGGCGGCGCCCAGACGGACAGCCGACGGTCACCCCGGTTGGCACTAGTTGCAGCGGCGGCCGCCTGGCTGCGCTGGCGTCGCTCATCGGCGGGACGCGCGCGTGCCGCGGGGACGGCGGGCGCGCGCGGAGCGCCGCGAGGCGGCATGGCGCGCCCGCCAGTGCCGGCGAGGAGCGCCGAGGCGCGCTCAGGCAGGCACCGGATCGGTTCAGGGTCGCGCTCCTCGCTGCCGTGACACGCCCCGGTGGGCGCGCCGCGCCCGCCGCCCCCGCCGCCGCCGCCGGTCCTTTCGCTCTGTGACCAGCCCGCGGGCAGGCGCGCCCCCAGCAGGCGATGCGGTCCCGGCCGCCGTCGGCGCCGGCACCTCTGGCGTGCCCTGATGCCACCGGCCAGCGGCCTGGCCCGGCCACGGCGCGGCCGTAGGCGCCCTGTGTGACAACGCTGTTCTCTGATCGCGGTGTCGCGGGATGCCAACCGACGGCGGACAGCTGGCGCGAGGAATAAACCGGATGTGGTGGAGGTGACGCGTCAATCCGCTGTTGTTGTTCCTGGAACTTTAATCCGAATACATCGTGACATATCGCATTTCGCTGTTAGCATGACATGCTTCTTTAAATATGTTCTCCTTCAGCAATGACTCGAACCCCAGTCCGAGCGGGCCAAGAGGCCAGGAACCGTAAAATGGCCTGTTTTCCAAAAGAGTATATCGGTTTAAAGGCCCGAGGTGGCTGAGGGCTCACCGAAACAGCAGAAGCCTCCCAGAAGACCGAAGGCTCGGCAACGGCCAGAGCCTCGGCGAAGGGTCTGGCGATGCCGTCAGGAAGACCTCGGGTTTGTTGACAGTGTAGCGACATGATACAACATCTTGGGAGTCAGCAGCGCTGAGGAGGCCACGCCGCGATCGAGCGATACACACAGATGCTTAAGGCTGTCGCGAGGCTGAATGCCGCGAAGTGTTCAGTGTTCCGAGGTGGTTAATTAGTCATAACAGTAACCAGCCTACCAAGTCACACACGGTTAATAACTAGGCATCAGCTTCAAGACAAAAGGCGTGCAAATGACAGACACCACCTCTTGTCCTCGTTTTTGCCGTTGATGACCGTTCCGAAACGAATCTGCCCTACTGATCAAGTTTGTGTACTTATCTGGCGCAGAAATGTAATGCCTTCGACAAGAAATAAAAGCGGTTGAAGTTCTTCGTTGACTGTAACCGCATGCTATGATCGCTCCTCCTCGAGCATGTTACGACAGAGCTCCTAACCCATTGGGCCACTTCAAGTTGGAAATCTCAACGCCGTGCTTTCAGTGACTGCCCAAGTCCCAGTCCTTCAAGAGCGCGCCTGACCAGACCGGGCCGGACCGGGCCGCTGTACCGACGGCATTTCCGGCTAGTTGGCGCTAAGACCCGTTCGTAGTAATCCTATTTGCTCCAAGTGGCGAAATAAAGCGGGCCAACTTCGAGGAGAAAACAGTATTTGGGACACCCTAGATTAATCGGCCAATGCAGACCACTGATCGGCTGGTTTTGCAACATTGCGACCCTGATGAGGCGTGGGGGGAGGAGAATGGGACACAGTCATGCGTGTTTGCGTGGGAAAAAGGCAAAAGCTATCACGTATCCATTCTTTCCTACAAATTCCAGGAAGACCACAGCTGAGGTAGTGTGTCTGTAGTTGTGTGCCATGTTGACATCAATTTTACTTTTGTCACCGTGCGGTGTATTCTCAAGGTTACGTGCGGCTCTATTGCTGCCCGCAATTATTTGAAATCAATGCTCTCAAGAGGCAGTTTGAACATGTGAAGGCTGTGTTGGCCTTCTTCCCTGAGGACAAAAGCTGAAGGCTTTAACTCCACCAAATGTTTATATATATATATATATATATATATATATATATATATATATATATATATATATATGTATATATACATATCCGAATATGTGTGCCTAAGGTTGAAACGTTAGCATGGTTTGTAAGATCGGTCTTCAAAAAATTACGAATGGATTTGAGCTTCTGAAAATGATATGACTTTAAAAGCTTTCAGACTATCACCACTGGTTCTAAAACGTCTGTCTTTGCCGATGAGAACTTGGAAAAAACGCTGGAAAATCGATATTAAGAATAATATTCCAATAGAGCTTTGAGGCAGCCGCGTAACAACGACCATGAACCCCTCGCAGACAAATCTTCCTTCCTCTAAATGCAGAACACCGGCCATCTGCCGGCCGTTCAATCGTCTCCACTTCACATCTCGCGCGCAGAATCCGTCAAAATTTGCCATCGTTATCTGGCCGGCGTAAAAGCACCATTTCTTGGGGAACACGAAAAGGCTCTCGGCCCTACTGAGCCCGATAAGCGGCAGAGGGCGGGGAGACTGGGCCAGGATAGGGCGGCGCCAGCGCGCTGCGCTGTTTGGGCCTCGTCTGTCCGGCCAAGGTCGCCGGTCCCAGCCCTTGATAACAGCGTCGCGCACGTTTTTATTGGGCTCCCCGAGTAACGCACCCCAGAGGCCGCTATCTTGTCGCGTTTGTCCGGACATCGATGCGTGCGCGATAGGAGCGGCGCACGCCCGCGGGTGGTGGCCCGGACAGGACAGGGCGCGCGCTGTCCGATCGGACAGCGCGCCCCGACGTCGCCTGGCAGGAGACGGCTGTCGGGTGTGGTCACTGTCGGACAGCCCGCTGACGCATCCTGACCCGAGCCAGACCAGTCACCAGACATCTCCGGGCAGGGTCTGCCGAACGCAGGCTTAACTACACGGAAGCTTGACAGATATCGGAAGATGTTCCACCAAGGAGCGCACCCACGCTGTAACCAGGCAGGAAGCCGCGATCTCCGTACGTGTTAGATTAGTAGCTAATTTTCCCAACGTCATCCGCGGTCACACTAGATGCACGATTGAGTTGCGCCTCAATTCATTTACTGTGATAACGGAGAGGGTGTAAGCCGAGCAAGTCTGGCATGAACACTGAACAGGACAGAACCCTCCATCTGAGCAACCCAGCTAGGCCCGACTCGGCCGTCAGGGATTAGAAGCTGAAGTTGATTTCATTTTTCATTCATCATCGTTTTTTTTCATTCGCCTGCAAGCTGCATTATCGAAAAAGATTTCCAGAGACATGTACATGTCAACTCAAATGTTTGTATGCCACGAAATGTTTGTATGCCACGCCAACGTGCTGGTTTTCGCTCTCATGCTTGCAAACCGAACGCAGTCTTACCCATTACATTGAGATAATTCAAATGCAGTTCCGTGGTTGCCCCCAAAACGGTCCAGTACCGATCGAAACTGTGCCCAGCTCTCGACGACCCCGTGTCACAGCGACACGAAACTAACACCGCTTGACAGAGGAGAGAACTGGACAAGAATGCTGAACAAGTATCAGTGTGAGTGTGATTATGAGCATGGGAAGATGGCCAGATGGCTCTTCTCTCTTTTAGTGTTTTTAAAAAGACGTGCCCTTTTTAGCCTTCAAATCATGTCATTATGTGTTAGACGTACACAAACTTGTGCAGATTATTTCGCGCCGCTTATTTTGAAGACACTTGTGAATATATGATGTCATAGAGACGTCAAATGAATTTCGCCTCCTCTATGGCCATGCCGTACATCAACAACAATACAAATATGACCGTAGACTCATTGGTGTCTGGAGTACCTCAGCAAGAACCACTACATCAACTGGCAGCAAGGGGGGGGGGGCAGGCTTTGGGGCGCTTCGGTGGCGCAGTCACATAGCTCAACGAGCAGCAGTTGGCTTTCAAGCAGCTAAATGCTTGTAATGCAAGTCTCAATCATGATTTGCTTATTTGGCTATTTTCCCCAGAGCCGTTTCGGCAGGCCACGGCCATTTTAGGGCAACAGGAAGAAGTGAATGGATTACGGTGGGGTAAAACTATACGCATCTGGGGGTCCATCTGCCGAGACGCAGCCCGCGCAGTGATCCCTCCGCGAGGTGTGTGCTTGGCGTCCGGACAGGTGCCCCCAACAGGGGGCACTACGGCCCATTCGTGATTGGCGCGTGCAGCCTGCCCCGGACAAGCGGGGCGTCGCGAGGATGCAGGGTAAATCGAGGAAAAGGGAATGATAGGGTAGATTGTCGACCACGGACCGCGTTTTGTAATTCATATTAAAGGCATTTCGACAACTTTACTAGTTATAAGAGGCATGATATTGGGTACAGAATAACGTAATGATATCCAAAAATGCTAATGCAAGGAAAACATGGAAAATTACGGTCACATCTACAGGAACTGCACAGGCAAATTCCAAAACACACGCAAATGACGCCCCAATCATGAGTAACACGCATAGGCCCCCAACGTCACCTTGCAGCGCGTACAAGTACCTGTCACAACTGAATCCGCCCGTCAGGTACGGCGGCGATTCTGACAAGGCCATTCCGGCATCATCCCTGGTGTCATAAAGACTTTCCGTGATAAAATCAAACGATGACGTTTTGGGAAGCACACTTAGTAAATAATGATGTCTTGTTGTTTAAAGTTGTCTTATACACAAGAAGGTGCGTCAATAGTAACAAATGAGCTTGTTGCAGTATTTTTAATCGTAATAACTGTTTTTACATCACAACCGCATTCTGTGAGCGAATGTTTATACCATGATGTATACAATGACCAAGCAATCCCAAAACCACCCGACACGCAGGCGCGCAGTGGTCGACCGGACAACGGACAACTTCTTCGAAGCCAGTCTCCAACGAAGACACTGCGGTGTCATGGAGCTGGATCAGCTCGCGTATTGTCTGGCTCGGTGTGAAC